AACCCCAACACACACACACCAAACACAACACAGACACACACCCAAACACACACACACCAACCCCAACACGCACACTCACCAAACACACACACAACCCCAACACACACACAGAACAAACACACAAACACCAACATACACCCACAACCAAATACACACACACCAAACACACACACACCAAACAGAAACTCCAACACCCACACCGACACACACCCCCTTAAACCAACAGCGCCTTCCCTTGTAAACACACATACACGACACACACACCGACCACAGACGACACACACACCGACACACACACACCAACCACACACCAACACACGCACACGACACACTCCCCGACACCCAGACACACACACACCGACAACCACCGACACACAGACGACACACACACACACCGACACACACACACCCGACACACACACAGACGACACACTACCGACACACAGACGACACACACACAGACGACACACACACCGACACACAAGTCTTTGGGAAATCCCCTAGAGTTCTGGCATCCCTCGCATATCCCACCCACCCACACACACTCTCTCACACACACAGACAAAGGTCCCCTGTATAGCGTGAGTAGACTGTTGGGGCAAGTGCTGTTAGCACCGATACACACACTGACACACACTGACACACACACACAGACACACACTGACACACACACACTGACACACACACACTGACACACACTGACACACAGACACAGACATACACTGACACACACACTGACACACACACAGACACACACACACACACTGACACACACAGACACACACTGACACACACACACTGACACACAGACACACACACAGACACACACTGACACACACAGACTGACACACACACAGACACACACACACAGACACACACACAGACACACACTGACACACACACACTGACACACACAGACACACACAGACACAACACTGACACACACGAGACACACACAGACACACACACACTGACACACACACACACACTGACACACACAGACACACACTGACACACACACACTGACACACACTGACACACACAGACACAACACACTGACACACACTGACACACACCGTCACATGCCCCAGCCCACTCGCCCACTCAGGTCTGGCGCTGTCATCGTCGCCAGCGCAGGGAAAGTCCCGGAGTTTTCCCAAAAGCCGCAGAGCACAAACACACATCACCATCATCAATCACCATCATCATCACCATCATCATCACCATCATCATCACCATCATCATCACCATCATCATCACCATCATCATCACCATCATCATCATCACCATCATCATCACCATCATCATCACCATCATCATCAACAATCATCATCATCACCACCTCATCAGCTAACCATCATCATCACCATCATCACCATCATCACACCATCATCATCTCATCACACCATCACCATCATCACCACCATCATCATCATCACCATCATCACCACCACCATCATCATCACCACCATTATCATCATCACCACCATCATCAATCATCACCACCATCATCATCATCACCACCATCATCATCATCACCATCATCATCATCATCACCACCATCATCATCATCACCACCATCATCATCACCACCATCATCATCAGCACCACCATCATCATCATCACCACCATCATCACCACCATCACCATCATCACCATCATCACCACCACCATCATCATCACCATCATCATCACCACCATCACCATCATCACCACCATCATCATCACCATCATCATATGTGGTGGTGATACACTACACTATACACTACACTATACACTACACACACACTAACTACACTACACTACACACATACCTACTACACCTACACTATACACTACACTATACACTACACTACACACTACACTATACACTACATTACACACTACACTACACACTACACTATACACTACACTACACACTACACTACACACTACACTACACACTACACTATACACTACACTATACACTACACTACACACTACACTACACACTACACTATACACTACACTACACACTACACTACACACTACACTACACACTACACTATACACTACACTATACACTACACTACACACTACACTACACACTACACTACACACTACACTACACACTACACTATACACTACACTACACACTACACTACACACTACACTACACACTACACTATACACTACACTACACACTACACTATACACTACACACTACACTACACGAGTGCTGTACTGGTATCGAATCGGCAGCACGCTCTGTCCACGTGACGAGCGCTGCGTGCCCACGTGACCTGCCCGTGTCGGGTGGTGGAGGGTGGCGCGGATTGACGACCACAGCCTTCTCCACTTCCACGACATCTCAAACACGACCACGATGACGCCTCCAGCGGAGATTCGAAGCTTTCGCGGCTGCAACGTTTCTGTTTCTTTTCTCATTCGTTTGTTCCTGCTGACGGTTGCTTTTATCGCCACCGAAACGTCGTCCTCTGTTAATATTTAATTTTATTTCTTCCCACAGCGAGCGGACGTGGCCTGCAGCGGCCCCTGGTGGCAGCTGCCACCCCCCGCACCACCACCACCCTCGCTCGTACAGGCCACGCGGGGCCTCCATGGGGGTCTCGGAGGCGACGTTTCGGGGTCGGGGTCCAACCCAGGGTGGTTGACCATCGTCACCTTGCAGGCTATGGTCAAACACGTCCACTGCTGGATCATGGAGACGGTGACGATGATGGAGACGGTGACGATGGCTTCATTTTGGTGATTTCGAAAGCGTTTGTTTGGTGTGGCCATGTTTGTTTGTTGTAGTACGGAGCTAGGTCTATGTGGGTGTCTATGTATGGGTCTCTGTGGGTGTCTGTGGGTGTCTCTGTGGGTGTCTGTGGTGTCTCTGTGGGTGTCTATGGGTCTCTGTGGGTGTCTCTGTATGGGTCTCTATGGGTGTCTGTGGGTCTCTGTGGGTGTCTGTGGGTATCTATGGGTCTCTGTGGGTGTCTGTGGGTATCTCTGTGGATGTCTATGGGTCTCTGTGGGTGTCTGTATGGGTCTCTGTGGGTGTCTATGGGTCTCTGTGGTGTCTGTGGGTATCTATGGGTCTCTGTGGGTGTCTCTGTATGGGTCTCTATGGGTGTCTGTGGGTCTCTGTGGGTGTCTGTGGGTATCTATGGGTCTCTGTGGGTATCTCTGTGGGTGTCTATGGGTCTCTGTGGGTGTCTGTATGGGTCTCTGTGGGTGTCTGTGGGTATCTATGGGTCTCTGTGGGTGTCTCTGTATGGGTCTCTATGGGTGTCTGTGGGTCTCTGTGGGTGTCTGTGGGTATCTATGGGTCTCTGTGGGTATCTCTGTGGGTGTCTATGGGTCTCTGTGGGTGTCTGTATGGGTCTCTGTGGGTGTCTATGGGTGTCTGTGGGTATCTATGGGTCTCTGTGGGTGTCTCTGTATGGGTCTCTATGGGTGTCTGTGGGTGTCTGTGGGTATCTATGGGTCTCTGTGGGTGTCTGTGGGTATCTCTGTGGGTGTCTATGGGTCTCTGTGGGTGTCTGTATGGGTCTCTGTGGGTGTCTATGGGTCTCTGTGGGTGTCTGTGGGTATCTATGGGTCTCTGTGGGTGTCTCTGTATGGGTCTCTATGGGTGTCTGTGGGTCTCTGTGGGTGTCTGTGGGTATCTATGGGTCTCTGTGGGTGTCTCTGTATGGGTCTCTATGGGTGTCTGTGGGTCTCTGTGGGTATCTCTGTGGGTGTCTATGGGTCTCTGTGGGTGTCTCTGTGGGTGTCTGTGGGTCTCTGTGGGTGTCTCTGTGGGTGTCTGTGGGTCTCTGTGGGTGTCTCTGTGGGTGTCTGTGGGTCTCTGTGGGTGTCTGTGGGTCTCTGTGGGTGTCTATGGGTCTCTGTGGGTGTCTCTGTGGGTGTCTATGGGTCTCTGTGGGTGTCTCTGTGGGTGTCTGTGGGTCTCTGTGGGTGTCTCTGTGGGTGTCTGTGGGTCTCTGTGGGTGTCTATGGGTCTCTGTGGGTGTCTCTGTGGGTGTCTGTGGGTCTCTGTGGGTGTCTGTGGGTCTCTGTGGGTGTCTCTGTGGGTGTATATGGGTCTCTGTGGGTGTCTCTGTGGGTGTCTATGGGTCTCTGTGGGTGTCTTTGGGTCTCTAAGATAGAAACAAGAGGTTGGTTTCGTTGTTAATCTATTTGAAAGTGATTAGTGTTTCCCTTGCCCGCACTTTGCACTGCTGTCGTGTTCGTGAGTCTTGGTTTTGACCATACTTCACCATTCTGGTCACAGGGTGTAAATTGGGGGGGGGGGGGTCACGTGACTAATCCCCCAAACCCCCCCCCCCCTTAGCCCCGCCCCCCTGCCCGTACCACCGACGCATCCGATTGGTGAACGGATTGGCCAATGGCTGCTCACTTTCGATTGGCCCTCGCCGCTCGCGACGTCATCACGGCAGCCAATGAGATACGCGGCTCACACGCGTCATCACAGCGATCGCACATATATTATGTTAATGAAGTTTCGTGACGACATCGCGGCGACTGTAAATGTAATGCTAATGAGATGTGCAGCCCGTGACGTCATCGCGGGGACTCCACTGTTAATGCCATCGGCGACCCTGTCGTCATCGAGGCGATTACATAAACTATGTTAATTTTTACTCAATATGACGTCATCGCAGCGACCGCATATATTATGTTAAAGAATGCGTGCTCCGTGACGTCATCGCGGCGACCACATAGACTATGTTAATGTATTACGCGTTCTGACGTCATCGCAGCGACCGCATATATTATGTTAATGTTATACGCGATACGACGTCATCGCAGCGACCGCATATATTATGCTAATGTTATACGCGATATGACGTCATCGCAGCGACCGCATATATTATGTTAATGTTTATGCGGTATGACGTCATCGCAGCGACCGCATATATTATGTTAATGTTATACGCGATATGACGTCATCGCAGCGACCGCATATATTATGTTAATGTTATACGCGATATGACGTCATCGCAGCGACCGCATATATTATGTTAATGTTTATGCGGTCTGACGTCATCGCAGCGACCGCATATATTATGTTAATGTAACGCGATCTGACGTCATCGCAGCGACGCATAAATTATGTTAATGAGATATTGGCCAGCGCAGAGCGGTGGGAGCGTGAATTGCCGCGGCCACAGATTTAAAGTTTCCCTCGTCTGAAGGGCGCCAAACTTTAGAGATAATTATTATTGTTAACTAAGAGCGATTTTGAGGGAAAACCAAACATGTTCTATTACCCTGAGGTGTTGAGAAGGCGTGGAAAGTTTGCGACGATTTGGTAAAACAAACTTTTACCTCACAAATATACTAAACTTGAGCTGATAGCGACTAAGTCTAATTTATAAACATAAAAATTATTATTGTAAATACATCAACCTGTCAATCAGTTGATGACGAGCGCAATGATGCTATTGATGTGTTATTCTACATTACATAGTTATTAATATTACCTCACGATATCCTCGCTATTAATGTATTAATACTGAAGACGATATCGTTGTTCGTATTCGTATATTTCTTTAATTTAAGTTAATTAGTTACATTATAATCTTACAAATTATATGCAGAATGTACTAATAACGATACACTTGCACAGTAGCACGGTATATATAATTATATATCAACAGTATACTAATTAATCACTTATAGATTTATAATACATCGTATTAATGTTCTAATTTATAAAGTTACAAATGTCATTATCCATTCCTAATCGTTATTTTTTATAAACATTTCCCTCACAAACTTTTACCTCACGCTACTCAAAGTTTTTATTTATAAAGTTAACATCACGTCACCTGTACAGTTCTACAATTTATAACTCGCACAAAGCTATTAAAGTATCAATATTGCCAAGATATTGGCGCATTTTTAACAAAAACATTTGTTAACTGATCGATTTTTGTTATCAAAGTACGGGGGGGGGTGACCATACTTCACCACTCTGGTCAATGTGGAGTGGGGGGGGTGAGTGACCATACTTCACCACTCTGGTCAATGTGGAGTGGGGGGGGGGTGACCATACTTCACCACTCTGGTCAATGTGGAGTGGGGGGTGAGTGACCATACTTCACCACTCTGGTCAATGTGGAGGTGGGGGGGGGGGGGGGGTGACCATACTTCACCACTCTGGTCAATGTGGAGTGGGGGGGGGGGTGACCATACTTCACCACTCTGGTCAATGTGGAGTGGGGGGGGGTGAGTGACCATACTTCACCACTCTGGTCAATGTGGAGTGGGGGGGGGGGTGACCATACTTCACCACTCTGGTCAATGTGGAGTGGGGGTTGAGTGACCATACTTCACCACTCTGGTCAATGTGGAGGTGGGGGGGGGGGGTGGTGACCATACTTCACCACTCTGGTCAATGTGGAGTGGGGGTTGAGTGACCATACTTCACCACTCTGGTCAATGTGGAGGTGGGGGGGGGGGTGACCATACTTCACCACTCTGGTCAATGTGGAGTGGGGGGTGGGTGACCATACTTCACCACTCTGGTCAATGTGGAGTGGGGGGGGGGGGTGACCATACTTCACCACTCTGGTCAATGTGGAGTGGGGGGGGGGAGTGACCATACTTCACCACTCTGGTCAATGTGGAGTGGGGGGGGGTGAGTGACCATACTTCACCACTCTGGTCAATGTGGAGTGGGGGGGGGTGACCATACTTCACCACTCTGGTCAATGTGGTGTGGGGGGGGTGAGTGACCATACTTCACCACTCTGGTCAATGTGGAGTGGGGGGGGGGGTGACCATACTTCACCACTCTGGTCAGTGGGGGGGGGGGGGGTGACCATACTTCCCCACTCTGGTCAATGTGGAGTGGGGGGGGGTGACCATACTTCACCACTCTGGTCAATGTGGAGTGGGGGGGGTAGTGACCATACTTCACCACTCTGGTCAATGTGGAGTGGGGGGGGGGGTGGTGACCATACTTCCCCACTCTGGTCAATGTGAAGTGGGGGGTGGTGACCATACTTCACCACTCTGGTCAATGTGAAGTGGGGGGTGGTGACCATACTTCACCACTCTGGTCAATGTGAAGTGGGGGGTGAGTGACCATACTTCACCACTCTGGTCAATGTGGAGTGGGGGGGGGGGGTGACCATTCTTCACCACTCTGGTCATTGTGGAGTGGGGGGGGGGGGTGGTGACCATACTTCACCACTCTGGTCATTGTGGAGTGGGGGGGGGGGGGGTGGTGACCATACTTCACCACTCTGGTCAATGTGGAGTGGGGGGGGGGTGACCATACTTCACCACTCTGGTCAATGTGGAGTGGGGGGGGGTGGGTGACCATACTTCACCACTCTGGTCAATGTGGAGTGGGGGGGGGGTGACCATACTTCACCACTCTGGTCAATGTGGAGTGGGGGGGTGAGTGACCATACTTCACCACTCTGGTCAATGTGGAGTGGGGGGTGAGTGACCATACTTCACCACTCTGGTCAATGTGGAGGGGGGGGGGGGGTGACCATACTTCACCACTCTGGTCAATGTGGAGTGGGGGGGGTGACCATACTTCACCACTCTGGTCAATGTGGAGTGGGGGGGGGGGTGATCATACTTCACCACTCTGGTCAATGTGGAGTGGGGGGTGGTGACCATACTTCACCACTCTGGTCAATGTGGAGTGGAGGGGGGTGACCATACTTCACCACTCTGGTCAATGTGGGGGGGGGGTGACCATACTTCACCACTCTGGTCAATGTGGAGTGGGGGGGGGGGACCATACTTCACCACTCTGGTCAATGTGGGGGGGGGGGGTGACCATACTTCACCACTCTGGTCAATGTGGAGTGGGGGGGGGGGGGTGAGTGACCATACTTCACCACTCTGGTAAATGTGGAGTGGGGGGGGGGGTGACCATACTTCACCACTCTGGTCAATGTGGAGGGGGGGGGGGTGACCATACTTCACCACTCTGGTCAATGTGGAGTGGGGGGGGGGTGAGTGACCATACTTCACCACTCTGGTCAATGTGGAGTGGGGGGGGGGGGGGGGTGACCATACTTCACCACTCTGGTCATTGCTGCAGGTTGGCCGCCACCAAAGCAGTGAAGCTGTCGAGGAGGGAATGGCTGCTTGTGAACGTCAACTTGTCCTGGTGAGAGTCGGGGGCATCCGGTGATGCGGGTCGCGGATTCAGCGTTGCTCCTTTGCTGCTTGCCACTCCATCCAAACAACTCGTGAAAACCCCGTCCCGGTCCGATTCCGTTCATCAGTTTTTCTCACCCACTCACGCACCCATTGACCCACTCACTCACCCACTAACCCACTCACTCATTCATCCACTCACTCATTCACCCACTCACTCACGCACCCATTGACCCACTCACTCACCCATTCACACACTCACTCACCCACTCATTCACCCACTCACTCACCCACTCACTCACCCACTCACTCACCCACTCATTCACCCACTCACTCACCCACTCATTCACCCACTCAATCACCCACTCATTCACCCACTCAATCACCCACTCATTCACCCACTCACTCACCCACTAACCCACTCATTCATCCACTCACTCACGCACCCATTGACCCACTCACCCACCCATTCACCCACTCACTCACCCACTCATTCACCCACTCAATCACCCACTCATTCACCCACTCAATCACCCACTCATTCACCCACTCACTCACCCACTAACCCACTCACTCATTCATCCACTCACTCACGCACCCATTGACCCACTCACTCACCCACTCACTCACGCACCCGATATTTTTGACTTACGATGGGGTCGTCGTAACGCATCTCCATGATGGTGTGTGTGTGGTGATGATGTTGATGATGATGGTGATGTGTGTGTGTGTGTGGTGTTGATGGTGTGTGTGATGATGTTGATGATGATGGTGTGTGTGTGTGTGTGTGGTGTTGATGGTGTGTGTGATGATGTTGATGATGATGGTGTGTGTGATGATGGTGTGTGTGATCATGATGTTGATGGTGTTTGTGATGATGATGTTGATGTGTGATGATGTGTGATGATGATGTTGATGATGGTGTGTGTAATGATGATGTGTGATGATGATGATGGTGTGTGATGATGATGATGATGTTGATGATGATGTTGATGGTGTGTGTGATGATGATGATGTTGATGATGATGTTGATGGTTTGTATGGTGGTGGTGGTGGTGATGTTGATGGTGGTGTGTGTGTAATTATGTTGATGGTGTGATGATGATGACGATGTTTATGGTGTGTGTGTGGTGATGATGATGTTGATGTGTGATGATGATGATGTGTGTGTGATGTTGATGTTGATGGTGATGATGATGTTGATGGTGTGATGTGGTGATGATGATGTTGATGTGTGATGATGATGATGTGTGTGTGATGTTGATGATGATGTTGATGGTGTGTGTGTGTTGATGATAATGATGATGATGGTGTTGATGGTGTGTATTGTGTGTGTGATGTTGATGTTGCAGTAACGATGTCCTGGACCACGTGATGCTGCGCGTGAAGGAGAAGGGCCAGCTGCGGCGATTCTCCCTCTACCTGTCGGCTCAGCTCATGTACGGCCTGGCCTGCGTCTTCTCTCGCCAGAGCGGCTACCTCATCGGTGAGGCAGACGCACGGGGGTGAGGTGGTGGGGTGAGGTGGTGGGGTGAGGTGGGGGGGTGAGGTGGTGGGGTGAGGTGTGAGGGTGAGGTGGTGGGGTGAGGTGGTGGGGTGAGGTGGGGGGGTGAGGGAGTGGTGTGAGGTGGGAGGGTGAGGTGGCGGGGTGAGGTGGGAGGGTGAGGGGGTGGGGTGAGGTGGGAGGGTAAGGTGGCGGGGTGAGGTGGGAGGGTGAGGGGGTGAGGTGGTGGGGTGAGGTGGGAGGGTGAGGTGGGAGGGTGGGGGGGGGTGAGGTAGTGGGGTGAGGGGGGGGGTGAGGTGGGGGGGGTGAGGGGGTGGGGTGAGGTAGTGGGGTGAGGGGGGGGGTGAGGTGGGGGGGGTGAGGTGTGAGGGTGAGTTGGTGGGGTGAGGTAATGGGGTGAGGTGGTGGGGTGAGGTGGGGGGGTGATGTTGACGAGGTGGGGGGGTGGTGAGGGGTGATGTTGACGAGGTGGGGGGGTGACGAGGTGGGGGGTGGTGAGGGGTGATGTTGCGTCGACGCGTGTCGCCCTTCAGACGACGTGCGCTCGTGTCTGGAGAAGCTGCACAGGGCGGCGACGGTGGCTCGCATCGACATGGAGGAGACGGAGAGGTGACAGCAGCAGCATCATCAGCAGCAGCATCATCATCAGCAGCATCATCAGCAGCAGCATCAGTATCATCATCATCAGCAGCAGCAGCAGCATCATCAGCAGCAGAATCATCAGCAGCATCATCAGCAGCAGAAGCAGCATCATCATCAGCCGCATCACCAGAATACCGCCATCGTCACCACCATCTTCACCATCATCACTACCATCGTCACCACCATCGTCACCACCATCGTCACCACCATCGTCACCACCATCTTCACCATCATCACTACCATCGTCACCACCATCGTCACCACCATCGTCACCACCATCTTCACCATCATCACTACCATCGTCACCACCATCGTCACCACCATCGTCACCACCATCGTCACCACCATCATCTTAATTTTAGAACTTTCGTGACTGCAGTAAATGATTATTTGGTTCTTTCGGTTAAGTCACGTCTAAAGATAAAATAATAAATTAAATTAAATAATAGCATACGACGTTTCGATTGCAACACAAGCAATCATCATCAGGTATAATGAAATAGCAACATAGAATCTAACCAGAAAACTATAGACAGAGATATTAGCAGACAGATATCACCAAGATACATAGAGGGAGCAACACAGGAACCAGAGAGGGGTGATCATCTCTGTGGGGTGGCCTTAAATAGACAGAGGGGGGAGGAGGCAGAGAGAGGGAGGGGGTTAGGGAAAACATTTGCATATCAATGAGTGGTCCAAAAAACAAGGTTCTGCAAGTGCGATGACACGGCAAGCAAGTCTGAAAATCAGAAGGACAAACTAAAATTCAATAACCTAGCAAAATATCGAAATGTAATGTAATACAACACAGAGAGTCGGTCAACACACAATTAACGCATAGCCTGGTTGATTACGTATTTAAAAGATTGCTAAGTTAGAATTTAAGTGTGAACATTCCAAAGAGAAGACACAGGCAGAGAGAAGAGAGAGAGAAAAAAGGATAAGCTCAAAACTTCCCCGTAGAAGTGGTTCAATCTTAATTTTAGAACTTTCGTGACTGCAGTAAATGATTATTTGGTTCTTTCGGTTAAGTCACGTCTAAAGATAAAATAATAAATTAAATTAAATAATAGCATACGACGTTTCGATTGCAACACAAGCAATCATCATCATCACCATTGTCACCACCATCTTCACCACCACGCCATGACTACCACTATCATTACCATCTCCACCATTACCACCGGCATAATCATCACCACCACCACCATCATCACCACCATCTTCACCATCACAACCAGCATCACTACGACCATCACCACCATCATCACCACCACCATCATCACCACCATCTTCACCATCACAACCAGCACCACTACGACCATTACCACCATCACCACCATCACCACCATCACCACCATCATCACCACCATGAGGACAAACATGAACATCGCAATGTGTCTGCTAGACTGCGGCTGACGCTTCCGGATGAATTGTCCATCATGGAGGAGACCCTGGGAGCTGCTGACCCCTGGTTCGGGGTCATGACCTTCCTAACCCGAGCCTCAGAAACTCTCCATGCAATCGAGGTACCCGCGTGTGTGTGTGTGTGCGTGTGTGCGTTTGTGTGTGCGTGCGTGTGTGTGTGCGCGCGTGTGTGTGTGCCCGTTCACAGCACTTGCCCCATCGTTTGCGTTGACTACACAGGGGATCTTTGTCTTTGCCCGACAGTTTCAAGCAGATGTGCTGAGTCCCCTGCCTCCATCTGGCTCTCCTCTATCACCTGGTGAATGCAAGATGCACCTACACACCCGCCTCTGTTGATGCGACCAATACATCCTTTTCCACTGCCTCATCTGAGCCAAGCCAGCATGGTACGGGTGGTGTTTTTCCACTGCTACATCTGAGCCAAGCCAGCATGGTACGGGTGGTGTTTTTCCACTGCCACATCTAAGCCAAGCTAGCGTGGTACGGGTGGTGTTTTTCCACTGCCACATCTAAGCCAAGCTAGCGTGGTACGGGTGGTGTTTTTCCACTGCTACATCTGAGCCAAGCCAGCGCGGTACGGGTGGTGTTTTTCCACTGCTACATCTGAGCCAAGGCAGCGCGGTACGGGTGGTGTTTTTTCACTGATACATCTGAGCCAAGCTAGCATGGTATGGATGGTGTTTTTCCACTGCCTCATCTGAACAAAGTCTCACAAAACTCGACCAAGAACCCATAAATTAATTTAGACAACAGATCATAATGGATGAATGTTCAAAGATGATGCCTGTAATTATTAAAGTTCATAAAATCATTTGTTTTTAATGCGTGCATTGTGCATGAAATGTTGATAATGGAAGTCACTTTGAACATGCATGTGTGCATGTGTGTTATTTGCGTGACGATTATGTGAACTGGTCCTGGGCCTCTCCTAAGTCGACTCAGCCTCAAATGAGTACCTGGTGCGGTGTGTAGTAAACATCGCCACTGGGGAGACAAAGGCGGCCGGGCGTGGTGCTGGCCACCCACCCCCTTGTGTGCCGTGCCGGCCTTCGTATTTGCTACCTGCTAACAGCACTTGCCCCTACAGTCCGCTAAGTCTATACGCGGGGGATCTTTGTCTTTGTGCGTGTGCAGAGCCACCGTTTACGATGCGAGATTTAAAGTCTCTGGTGCCAGAGGAGGGCATGGTAAGTTTCTTATCATTTACCACTGAAACTCAACACATTTGTCAACAACGCGTGTGTGCGTGTGTGCGTGCGTGTGTGTGTGTGTGCGTGTGTGTGCGTGCGTGTGTGTGCGTGTGTCTGCGTGCGTGTGCGTGTGTGTGTGTGCGTGTGTGTGTCTGCGTGTGTCTGCGTGTGTGTGCGTGTGTGCGTGCGTGTGTGTGTGTGTGCGTGTGTGTGCGTGCGTGTGTGTGCGTGTGTCTGCGTGCGTGTGCGTGTGTCTGCATGTGTGCGTGTGTCTGCGTGTGCGTGTATCTGCGTGCGTCTGCGTGTGTGTGCGTGCGTGTGTGCGTGTGTGTGCGTGTGTCTGCGTGTGTCTGCGTGTGTGCGTGTGTCTGCGTGTGTCTGCGTGTGTGTGCGTGTGTCTGCGTGTTTGGGCATGCGTGTGCATGCGTGCGTGTGCGTGTGTCTGCGTGTGTGTGCGTGCGTGTGTGTGTGTCTGCGTGTGTGCGTGTGTGTGTGAGCGTGTGTGTGCGTGTGTCTGCGTGTGTGTGCGTGTGTCTGCGTGTGTGTGTGTCTGCGTGCGTGTGTGTGCGTGTGTCTGCGTGTGTGCGTGTGTGAGCGGTGGTGTAGCAGTTAGCACACTGCGCCACGGACCCGGCCACCCGCGTTCGATTCTCGCTCACGGCCGACAACATCACTGACGATGATCCTAACCGGTCCTGGGCCTTCCCTCGGTCGACTCAGCTTCGTACGAGTACCTGGTGCGGTGTGTAGTCAACATCGCCACTGGGGAGACAAAGGTGGCCGGGCGGGGTACTGGCCTATCATAGCGAAAGTCTAAGGGCTGTTCAACATCCGTACGTTGTGTGAACGCCGCTTATTCAGCGTGGACTGGCCGTAATTTTGTCACCACATTTAAGCGATGTACAAGCAGCTTGAGGTCAGGCGCTCTATGAATGTAGGGAATGGTTAAGGTGCTTCGCCAGATTCTATTCGTTTTTCGTTGCAGTTTGCAGAGCAAGCGGACCTGCCTGAAATGTCTCCGCAAGAGATTCAACACTTGCTGTCTCCCCACCTGCTCTCTCCTCTCGCTCCACACGGAGGTAGCGGCCACCGTGTGGGAACCCATCGGACGCGAGCGAGCGAGAACTCTGAGATAATGATGCTGATGGTGGTGATGGTGATGATGGTGGTGATGGTGGTGGTGCTGAAGGTGATGGTGGTGGTGATGGTGATGGTGGTGGTGCTGAAGGTGATGGTGGTGGTGATGGTGATGCTGATGGTGGTGATGGTGGTGGTGCTGAAGGTGATGGTGGTGGTGATGGTGATGCTGATGGTGGTGATGGTGGTGATGCTGAAGGTGATGGTGGTGATGCTGATGGTGGTGATGCTGAAGGTGATGGTGGTGATGGTGGTGGTGATGGTGATGCTGATGGTGGTGGTGGTGGTGGTGATGATGGTGGTGGTAGTGGTGGTGGTGATGGTGGTGGTGCTGAAGGTGATGGTGGTGGTGATGGTGATGCTGATGGTGGTGATGGTGGTGATGCTGAAGGTGATGGTGGTGATGCTGATGGTGGTGATGCTGAAGGTGATGGTGGTGATGGTGGTGGTGATGGTGGTGGTGGTGATGGTGGTGGTGATGGTGATGGTGGTGATGCTGAAGGTGATGGTGGTGATGGTGGTGGTGGTTGGCGGTGATGTTGGTTAAAGTGGTTTCCCTGCACCTCCAATAGGCGCGTTTGGCTACGTACGGTGCGAACGAAGTTCAACATACACACGGCAGTGGTGGGCGTTGTGAATGTGTGTGTGTGGTGTTTGTGTGGTGTGTGTGGTGTGTATGTCTGTATATGTGTGTGTGTGTGGTATATGTGTGTGTGTGTGGTATATGTGTGTGTGGTATATGTGTGTGTGGTATATGTGTGTGTGGTATATGTGTGTGTGGTGTGTATGTCTGTATATGTGTGTGTGTGGTATATGTTTGTATTGTGTGGGATGTGTGCGTGTATTATATGTGTGTTTGTTTGTGTGTGGTGTTTGTGTTGTGTGTGTTGTGAATGTTTGTGTGTGGTGTGTGTGTGGTGTGTGTGTGTGGTGTGTGTGTGTGTGTGGAACGTGTGTATTGTGTGGGATGTGTGCGTGTGTTATATGTGTGCTGTGAATGTGTGTGTTGTGAATGTGTGTGTGTTGTGTGTGTGTTGTGAATGTGTGTGTGGTGTGTGTGTTGTGTGTGGTGTGTGTTGTGAATGTGTGTGTTGTGTGTGTGTTGTGAATGTGTGTGTGTTGTGTGTGTTGTGAATGTGTGTGTGTTTTGTGTGTGTGTTGTGAATGTGTGTGTGTTGTGTGTGTGTGTTGTGAATGTGTGTGGTGTGTGTTGTGAATGTGTGTGGTGTGTGTTGTGTGTCATCCATCCCTCGTGTGTCAACTCCTCTCTGCGCCTGCACACAAACACAAAGATCGCTGATGATGCCGCTGATTCTGCTTTATGAATGACGCTGCTGCTGCTGATGATGACGCTGATGATGACGCTGATGATGACGCTGATGATGACGCTGATGACTTACGTTGATGATATTGACGATGATCATGATCTGGCAGCTGTGGAGGAGGAGGATGAGGAGGTCTTGCGCAAGGATGGGACTTATGAAGATTCTGGAGTCACTCAACATCCATCCAGGTGGGCACGGAGGCCGCACAACACACCAGCACTCGCCCAAAGACAAAGATCCCCCGTGTAGCCTTAACAGACTGTAGGGGCAAGTGCTGCGAGCGAGCACCTATGAAGGCCGGCACGGCCTTTGCCTCCCTAGTGAAAGATGTTTGCACATCGCACCAGGTACTCGTTTGAGGCTGAGTCGACCTAGGGGAGGCCCGGGATCAGTTCACCTCCTGTCCCACTCACGCACCCACTCACTCTCTCACTCGCACATTCACTCACCCACTCACCTACTGTCCCACTCACCGACCTACCCACTCGCTCACTCACTCGCACACTCACTCACCCACTCACACACTGTCCCACTCACCCACCCACTCACTCATGCACTCTCTCACTCGCACACTCTCTCACTCGCACACTCACTCACACACTCACCCACCTATCCACTCCCACTCACTCATGCACCCTCGCACACTCACTCACTCGCACACCCACTCACCCACTGTCCCACTCACCCACCTACCCACTCCCACTCACTCAAGCACCCACTCACTCACCCACTCTCACTCGCACACTCGCTCACACACTCTCACTCGCACACTCACTCACACACCCAATCACTTACGCACCTACTCATGCACTTACTCACCCACTCACTCACCCGTCCTCTCACTCGCACACTCACCCACTCACCCACTGTCCCACTCACCCACCCATTCACTTTCGCACTCACCCAATCACTCATATACCTACTCACTGATACACTCACACACCCTTTGATTGAGCCACTCACCCACTCACTCACCCACTGTCGCTCTCACCCACTCACACACGCAATCTCGCACACTCACTCACCCACTCACCCACTCTCCCACTCACCCACTCACCCAATCACACACCCACTCACCCACTCACTTACTCACCCACTCACTCACCCACTCTCCCACTCACTCACCCTCTCACTCACCCGCTCTGCGTGCGTCTCTGTCTCTCCAGGATTTCACTGGAGGCCGACGTGGAAGTCACGAAGAGGCGCACGGTCGACGACATCCGCGCCGCGCCACTCGCCGCCTCTCCCGACGCCCTGGGTGAGACACACGGGGGGACACGGGGACACGCGGGGACACACGGGGACACGTGGGGACACACGGGGACACGCGGGGACACACGGGGACACGAGACACGCGGGGACACACGGGGACACGTGGGGACACACGGGGACACGCGGGGACACACGGGGACACGAGACACGCGGGGACACACGGGGACACGTGGGGACACACGGGACACGCGGGGACACGGGGACACGCGGATTGCACTTCGCTTTGCAAGTCCGCACCTACAGCTGGATTTCTTTCGCACCGCGGGGTTTGCTACTGAGGGTGCGATGGGCTAATTGTCTCACTCACATTACTTTGTGCACACTTTATTGATATTGGCACGGAAAATAAAGATCGATTGATTAATCGATCTGTATTTTTGATTGTGAATGTCGAGTTTGAGTGTTGATTGTGAATGCTTCGTTTGAGACGTTCGCTCGTGAATTCACAGAGGCCACACTCACTGGAGCTGTCGCCCCAGCCATGCCGAGCCCCCCCTCCCCTCTACGTAGAGCGGTACACACATCACACGCACACACACGTGACACACACACACGTGACACACACACACACGTGACACACACACGTACACACACACACGTGTACACACATCACACACACACGTGACACACACACACACGTGACACACACACACGTGACACACACACACGTGTACACACACATATACACACACGTGTACACACATCACACACACACACGTGACACACACACACACACACGTGACACACACACGTACACACACACACGTGTACACACACACACGTGTACACACACACACACGTGTACACACACACACACATGTACACACACCACACACACGTGTACACACACACCACACACGTGTGTATTTGGAGTTTGCATGTCTCTCGCTGTCTCTCCCCGTGGCTGCGTGGATTTGTCACCACGTCCTCCGGTCTTTCCTTCCTCACTTAGAATCAACGTGGCGCGTTTTGGAGTATTTGGCTGCTGTGAATGTCCACGTAGATGATGATGATGACGACGCGGCGCTTGGTAGCGCTAACATGAAAGAGAAGCGACCTTCTGCGCTGCGCTGCGCATCTCTGCCGCCCGTAGGATGACAGCCTGGACAGCCCCTTCCACCTGCCCCCCCTCAGCCCCGAGGGGGCCGCCCCCCCTCCCCATCGACGCCGCCGCCGCCACCGCCTCTTCAGCGACGACGACACCCAGATGCCGCAGGACGAGATGAGGGCACAGGTGGCTGGGCCCCAACGCTCGCTGCAGCCGTTCGTGAGTAGCGCCGTCACCGTCGTAGCGAGCCGGTGGGAGGGTGGGTGGGCGGGTGGGTGGATGGGTGGGTAGGTGGGTGACTGAGTGGGTGGGTGATTGAATGGGCAGGTGAGTGGGTGGGTGAGTGGGTGGGTGGGTGAGTGAGTTGGTGGGTGAGTGGGTGAGCGGGAGAGCGAGCAGGTAGGTAGGTGAGTGGGTGAGTAAGCGGGTGGGTGAGTGGGTGTGTGAGCGAGTGGGTGGGTGGGTGACTGAGTGGGCGGGTGAGTGGGTGGGTGACTGAGTGGGCGGGTGAGTGGGTGGGCGGGAGAGCGAGTGGGTGGGTGGGTGACTGAGTGGGCGGGTGAGTGGGTGGGTGAGTGGGTGGGTGGGTGGGTGAGTGGGTGGGTGGGTGAGTGAGCGAGTGGGTGGGTGACTGAGTGGGCGGGTGAGTGGGTGGGTGCTTGGGTGGGTGAGTGGGTGGGTGAGTGGGTGGGTGGGTGAGTGAGTGGATGGGTGAGTGGGTGGGTGAGTTAGTGGGTGGGTGGGTGGGTGAGTGAGTTAGTGAGTGAGTGAGTGGGTGAGTGTCAACTTTTTTTTGAGAATCACGGTGTGAAAATGTCTGTGTGTTAATAATGATATTGATGACCATGATAGCGATGACATCATGTTCATGATTGGTGTCGATGATGCGATGTTAACGGTGATGTTTGTTTTTCTCAAATCCAGGTTCCTATTGAGCCGGAATCCATTCAAAGGAATTCCGTCTCTTATCTATTCAGAAACCCGGCATCAGGTAAACTACTTTAGATGATGACTACTTTGGACATGTGTAAGAAAGAGCTTCATAGATCATCATATTCGTCCAGGATAAATAAAGATTCTGACGACGATGGTGGCAGTAAATGATGGTGGCGACAATGATTTAAGAAAAAGAACGGACCAAACGAACTTAACTAAAACTATGAGATAATTTTATTTGACCGGGTAAGGCCCACTGAGGGAACTGGCCACAAATGATAGCTCATTATGTGGACATTTATAGCAGCCCAACACGATGAACGAGTGATTTTGTCTGGAGAAAAATCCACGTGGCCACAGGGAAAGAGAGAGATGAGAGAATATACAGCAGCAGGCGTAAGTGTCGGGATGGAACCCACGACCTCCTGTAGACCAGGCGAGGTAGTCAACATCTCCTAGCCACTGTGATGATGATGAGAGAGAGACGCAGACTCCACATAGACCTCCTGTAGACCAGGCGAGGTAGTCAACATCTCCTAGCCACCGTGGTGATGATGATGAGAGAGAGACGCAGACTCCACATAGACCTCCTGTAGACCAGGCGAGGTAGTCAACATCTCCTAGCCACCGTGGTGATGATGATGAGAGAGAGACGCAGACTCCACATAGACCTCCTGTAGACCAGGCGAGGTAGTCAACATCTCCCTAGCCACCGTGATGATAATGATGAGAGAGAGACACAGACTCCACATAGACCTCCTGTAGACAAGGCGAGGTAGTCAACATCTCCTAGCCACCGCGGCGAGATTTCATCAGTCTGGCGTAGACCTCAACGTTACCGGAGAAATGGGCGAGCGACCAGCTGTAGTCATAGCGATAGAAGAGAGACACGCAGGCGAGTGACCACAAGTGAGGTGGGTGGGTGAGTGGGTGAGTCGTTGAGCGGGTGAGCGAGTGGGTGAGTGGGTGAGTCGGTAGGTGGGTGAGTGACTTGGTAGGTGGGTGGGTGAGTGGGTGAGCGGGTGAGTGAGTGGGTGAGTGAGTGACTTGGTAGGTGGGTGGGTGAGTGGGTGAGCGGGTGAGTGAGTGGGTGAGTGAGCGGGTGAGTGAGTGGGTGAGTGAGCGGGTGAGCGAGTGACTGGGTGGGTGGGTGAGTAGTTGAGTGGGTGAGCGAGTGAATGATTGAGTGAGTGAGTGAGTGGGTGAGTGAGTAGTTGAGTGGGTGAGCGAGTGAGTGAGTGAGTGAGTGAGCGAGTGACTGGGTGGGTGAGTGGGTGAGTAGTTGATTGGGTGAGCGAGTAAATGATTCAGCGAGTGGGTGGGTGAATAGTTGAGCGAGTGAGTGATTAAGTGACTGGGTGGGTGAGTAGTTGAGTGGGTGAGTGAGTGAGCGAGTGACTGGGTGGGTGAGTAATTGAGTGGGTGATTGAGTGACTGGGTGGGTGGGTGAGTAGTTGAGCGAGTGAATGATTGAGTGAGTGAGCGAGTGACTGGGTGGGTGAGTAGTTGAGCGAGTGAATGATTGAATGAGTGACTGGGTGAGTGGGTGAGTGAGTGAGCGAGTGAATGATTCAGTGAGTGAGCGAGTGGGTGGGTGAGTAGTTGAGCGAGTGAATGATTGAGTGAGTGAGCGAGTGGGTGGGTGAGTAGTTGAGCGAGTGAATGATTCAGTGAGTGAGCGAGTGGGTGGGTGAGTAGTTGAGTGATTGAGTGACTGGGTGGGTGAGTAGTTGAGTGAATGAATGATTGAGTGAGTGAGTGAGCGAGTGAATGAATGATTGAGTGAGTGAGCGAGTGGCCTGTAAATGACTCACTGAGTGTAGTTTACCGGAACAGCAACCAAGGAGCCCGGCGACCCGAGTTCGATTCCCACTCAGGCCCAACTCACCACCCCCAACTTCGCGTTCTGTTGAGGCCATGCCGGGGGATCTGTGTGTCAATTCTGCCACGTCTCTCCTGGTAACGGCTCCACGGAGGGGAGTTTCCGTGCGGTGATTCTCTGTGTTGGCCGCGTGCAGGCTGGCTGATGGCCCCTCTACGCGGCCTGTGGGACAGGGCGGCCGTGCCTCCGGCGTCCGCCAGGAGACGGGCGCCCGCCCCCAGCATGTCTCCCTCGTCCGTCTACAGCGAGACCGAGGTGGGTGGGTGGGTGGGTGGGTGAGTGGGTGGGTGGGTGGGTGAGTGGGTGGGTGAGTGGGTGGGTGGATGGGTGGGTGGGTGGGTGAGTGGGTGGGTGGGTGAGTGGGTGGGTGGGTGGGTGGGTGAGTGGGTGGGTGGGTGGGTGGGTGGGTGAGTGGGTGAGTGGGTGGGTGAGTGGGTGAGTGGGTGGGTGGATGGGTGGGTGAGTGGGTGGGTGGGTGAGTGGGTGGGTGGGTGGGTGAGTGGGTGGGTGAGTGGGTGAGTGGGTGGGTGGATGGGTGGGTGGGTGGGTGGGTGAGTGGGTGGGTGGGTGGGTGAGTGGGTGGGTGGGTGGGTGAGTGGGTGGGTGGGTGGGTGGGTGGGTGGGTGGGTGAGTGGGTGGGTGGGTGGGTGAGTGGGTGGGTGGATGGGTGGGTGACGATCGTGGCCGGGTCCCTCGTGAAAGGGATATTCGCCGTCGATTGGAGCAGCTGGGGGGGAGGGGGGACACTACATTTAGTAAACAATCGGCAACGGATAGTTGTTTTTTTACCCTTCTATCTGGCAACAAAACTGACACCTTTTTTTTACAAGGAGTCATGTTTGCATAGACCACAATACCTGCAGTCATAATGCAAACAAAAACCATAACTCTGTATGCACTGTCCTTGAAGTTGATTGGTCCACACCCGAGACAGCTTTCCTTAGAGCCTAGTCTCACGTGCGTTGGACCAGATGACGCCAAAAGGCGCACAACTCAAAGACAACGCACCATCAGAGTATGAGAGCCGCACCCTGCCACACAAAGCCCACCGAGGTCTTCACTTATTAGCCAGAAGCGACTTGGGCACAGATGACAACTCAACAAAGCGGATTATCATTTAGACGTTTACAGCGGCGTGCGTCTAGGTGCGCAGGGAACGATGGGTGCTACTGCAGGGAAAGTGTGCAGACGCCGCAGGAAACCATTGGGTTAGATCGCCTTTGATAAATGAACGTAAACCCTCGATTTAAAGCTTTCGTGACTGCAAGGATTCATCTTCTTAATATGACTTTGAAACCCCCCGCCCACCTCCTACGCATTTCACAAGTAGTACTAATCTCATATCTTCATTTCCCATAAATATGCTAAATTCCTCTTGATATGCAAATTCTTTTGTCAAGGCGCTCTTCCCCCTCCAACCCAGCTTAAATATACGCTGCCAAGCCTGGTGGTGTTTCATTCAGACGCTGTCTTTCCGACAGGCCTGTTCTCCACCTGAGGACGGCTGCTTGCGTTGTGGCCGAAACGTCGTGAGAATTATTAAGTTTTATTTTTATTATTTTATTATTTCCCTTCTACGTGATGACTTTACCGAAAGAACCAAGAAGACAGGTTCATATACTTGCGCGACCTGCGTTATGGACGGCGTTTGTCGCGCGTTGAGTCGGCAGAGGACGCAGCACTGAGGTTTGTCGTGGACGAGAGAGCGAGAGAGACAACGCCGCCCTGAGGGGGAGGACGTTGAGACAGAATCCGTCACAGACAGCAGCGACAATTGTGAGCGGCGAAGGAGTTTGGGTGCTGGGGGAGTTTGCCAGCGAGCACATCGGCTACCAGGCCAGACTGAAGATCTCAGTGCAGCTGTGTGCCTGCCAGACTGGCACATTGAACGAGACTGACAGAGATGAGATGTTGGCCACTCGGAATGTACCGCTGCCGCTGCTGCTGAATAATGTTGGTCGCGAAAGCCACTACGTGTTGAACTGATGCTGATTCAGTGTGGCACTCACACAAGGATGGCTGTGTGGATGATGGAATGTCTACAGCAAAAAGTGCCTTGATGTGTTTTGTTATTTTGAATGTAGAGGGACAGATTCGGAGAAAAGATGCCGACCCGTTTTTATTTTCTGTGCAGGTGGTGAGAGCACAAGTGGAGAGAAGCACGCTGCTTGGAATCACTGGAGGTGAGCGGTGGTGGTGGTGGTGGTGGTGATGATGGTAGTGGTGGTGGTGATGGTAGTGGTGGTGGTGATGATGGTGATGATGGTGGTGGTGGTGGTGGTGATGGTAGTGGTGGTGGTGGTAGTGATGATGGTAGTGGTGGTGGTGGTAGTGGTGGTGATGATGGTGGTGATGGTGATGATGGTGGTAGTGATGGTGGTGGTGATGGTAGTGGTGGTGGTAGTGGTGGTGGTGGTGGTGGTGATGGTGGTGGTGGTGGTAGTGGTGGTGGTGGTAGTGGTGGTGGTAGTGGTGGTGGTGATGGTGGTGGTGATTCCATTGATGATTGTGATGATGATGGTGGTGGTGATTATTCTAGCGATGATTGTGATGATAGTGGTGGTGATGATTCTAGTGATGATTGTGATGATGATGATGGTTGTGATGATTCCAGTGATGATTGTGGTGGTGATGATGATGGTGGTGGTGATTATTCTAGCGATGATTGTGATGATGATGGTGGTGGTGATGATTCTAGTGATGATTGTGGTGGTGATGATGATGATGGTTGTGATGATTCCAGTGATGATTGTGGTGGTGATGATGATGGTGGTGGTGGTTGTGATGATTCCAGTGATGATTGTGGTGGTGATGATGATGATGATGGTGGTGATGATGATGATGATGGTGGTTGTGATGATTCCAGTGATGATTGTGGTGGTGATGATGATGATGGTCGTGATGATTGTGGTGGAGATGATGATGATGGTGGTGATTATTCTAGCGATGATTGTGATGATGATGATGGTGGTTGTGATGATTCTAGCGATGATTGTGATGATGATGATGATGGTGGTGATGATTCTAGTGATGATTGTGATGATGATGATGATGGTGGTTGTGATGATTCTAGCGATGATTGTGATGATGATGGTGGTTGTGATGATTGTGATGATGATGATGATGGTGGTTGTGATGATAATATAATGTAATCTGATAATGGCGGTGACGATGGTGATATGATGTGATAATGTAATGGTGATGATGTGGTGATGGTGTTGCTACCCATGTGAATGACAGTAGCGATGTTGACCGATGATGTTTTACAGAAGGAATAGAGTCTGCGGATGGAGAGAGCATCACTGCTGCAGAAATCGATAAGTACGTGGAGTTATTCGTCCATCAACAGCCGCTGTTCACCAATTACCGGTGACATCAACCACGGTGCTTGTGCCAGGCTAGGTGCACTTTCAGGCGATCACGTGGAGTGTCGGAGACTCATTTGCAGGAGGTCACGGGACAGACGCAGGTGCCATGGGTTTACTGGCTGAGGCAGAAGCATCATCACACAGAGACCCGTAGACTCACCACACAGTAGAGACCCATAGACTCACCACACAGTAAAGATCACCACACAGCAGAGACCCATAGACTCACCACACAGAGAGCCATAGACTCACCACACAGTAGAGATCACCACACAGCAGAGACCCATAGACTCACCACACAGAGACCCATAGACTCACCACAGAGACCCATAGACTCATCACACAGCAGAGACCCACAGACTCACCACACAGAGAGCCATAGACTCATCACACAGAGACCCATAGACTCATCACACAGCAGAGACCCATAGACTCATCACACAGCAGAGACCCATAGACTCATCACACAGCAGAGACCCACAGACTCATCACACAGAGACCCATAGACTCATCACACAGCAGAGACCCATAGACTCACCACACAGCAGAGACCCATAGACTCACCACACAGTAGAGATCATCGCACAGCAGAGACCCACAGACTCATCACATTCCCGTTTGTGTTTCCCAGGTTCCCCAGCGCCTTGGTTCACGACGTGGCAATGGAGCAGGTGGCGATGGACGAGGTGGGGATGGAGGAGGTGGAGGCTGCAGTGGAGGCAGCTTCCCCTGAGGCTGCCATCTTCCCCGCGGTGCCGTCGCGCTCCCCCACGCCTCCTGCCAGACTTACATCGCCGCTCCAGGAGGTGGCGGTGGCCGCGGCGGCGGCGGCGACGCGGGTTCGACTGCTGCAGTGAGTCAGAATGGGGAGACTTGTTTGTCCCGCAGGAGGAAATGCGACGAGTCGCTGAAGCTCTTTGTCACGGGGCACGGGGTTAGAAGCTCACAACCACAAACAATACGGAAAACACGACGGCAGTGCAAAGCGTTGGCGAGCTAAACACATCGCTCAACAAAAATATCTACAAATTACAACGGCACTATTTCTATTAGACGCCGACCGAAATTCGGTTTCGGTTTCGGCGCCGAAATTTGGCTAATGGCCTCTTTGGGCAAACTTTCGGTTTTGGCCGAAAGTAAATTTGTAATTTTCGGTTTTGGCCGGAGCTGATTTTGACTTTCGGTCGCCATTCGTCAACCGGAGATCTATTTGTAGAATATTACACCGGTGCCTCATCTATCACTCTGCCTATCGGCCGGTCAGTCGGCGCTAGGCAATCCTGTGCGATAGGCTGCACACACACACACGTCAGCAGCAGCAGCTGCAGCAGCAGCTGCAGCAGCAGCAACAGCAGCAGCAGCTGCAGCAACAGCAGCAGCAGCAGCAACAGCAGCAGCAGCAGCAACAGCAGCAGCTGCAGCAACAGCAGCAGCAGCAGCAACAGCAACAGCAGCAGCTGCAGCAGCAGCAGCTGCAGCAACAGCTGCAGCAGCAGCTGACCCAAGCTGCAGCAGCAGCTGCAGCTTGGGTCTGTGGTCAACAGCCTGTCTGGCTGCATGCGGAGAAACTGTTGTTTTCCTGGTTCTTCAGTAAAGTCACGTAGAATGGAAATAATAAAATAATAAAATAAAACATTATTAAATCATTCTCACGACGTTTTGGCCACAACCAAGAAGATGAATCCCTGCAGTCACGAAAGCTTTAAATCGAAATTTAAACTGTTGTTTCTTAACTACAACATTCGTCTGTTTGGATATGATTACTAAGGAAGTATCACCTACAGATTTGATATTTAGCGACTCTTACTGCAGGCTCTGAATGATTAGTTCTAGATTGTTTTTTTGATTAAAGTAGCATTGCATCACGACACAACTCATACATCGTGTGTCCGGTAACTTCGGTTCTGTACATTTCGGTTTCGGCCGAAAGTGTGTTTAGGGAAAAACGAAAGGACAAATCCACCGCTACGACGGGTCTGTGTGAGTCTATGGGTCTCTGTGTGATGAGTCTATGGGTGTCTGTGTGAGTCTGTGGGTCTCTGTGTGAGTCGATGGGTCTCTGTGATGAGTATATGGATCTCTGCTGTGTGATGAGTCTTTGGGTCTCTGCTGTGTGATGAGTTTATGGGTCTCTGCTGTGTGATGAGTCTGTGGGTCTCTGCTGTGTGATGAGTCTATGGGTCTCTGCTGTGTGATGAGTCAATGGGTCTCTGCTGTGTGTTGAGTCTATCGCCACCTACCCCCTCGTGTGCCACCGTGCCGGCCTTCATCGGTGACAGCACTTGCCATAACAGTCTGTTAAAGGCTATACGGGGGATGTTTGTGTATGCGTGTGTTTGTGTGTGTGCGCATGTGCGCGTGTGTGCGCGTCTGTGTGTGTGTCTGTGTGTGTGTGTGTTTTTATGCGTGCGTGTGTCTGTGTGTGTGTGTGCGTGCGTGTGTCTGTGTGTGTCTGTGTGTGTGTGTGTGCACGTGTGTGTGTGTGTGCGTGTCTGTGTGTGTGTGTGTGCGTATGTCTGTGTGTGTGTGTGCGTGTATGTGTGTGTGTGTGCGTGTGTGTGTGTCTGTGTGTGCGTGTCTGTGTGTGTGTGACTGACTGTGTGTGCGTGTGTGTGCGTGTGTGTGTGTGACTGACTGTGTGTGTGCGTGTGTGCGTGTGTGTGTGTGACTGACTGTGTGTGTGTGTGTCAACCACGTTATGTATGCCGATGATTTGGTAATAGCTGCTCATTCAGAAGAGGAGTTGGAGACGCTGCTGCTGAGACTGGAGCGTGCCACCAAGAGGTGGGGCCTTACCATCAGCCCCACCAAAACTAAGCACCTGCCTGGGTATTTTGTACCATCGGACACTCCACCCCCACAACTCCCAATTGGTGATGGGGCAGTTGTGGAGAGAGTGGAGAGTTTCCCATACCTGGGCAGTGTGCTTATGACCGGCTCCAGTCTATCAGCAGAGGTCTCACTCCGAATCAGTCGAGCGGCAATATCTTTTCATCGGTTGCGTAACGCTGTGTGGAAGCTACCTGGTCTGTCGCTCCGCACGAAGCTTCAGGTCTTCTCGGCCACGGTCATTCCCTCCCTTCTCTACGCTTGCGAGACGTGGACCCCCCTGGTGGAGCATCTTCGCCGGTTGGAAACATTTAGGCTGGCCTGCCTACGATCCATCCTGGGTTTAACCAGGCTGGATTGTGTGAGGAGCTCACAAATCCTTGAAAGATCTGGGCAAAGTCCCATCGGTGAGCTCCTCCGGCAGGCAAGGCTGCGTTGGCTGGGTCATGTAGCCCGCATGCCCAGCCACCGCATGCCTAGACAGCTTTTGTTCGGCCGGGTCGAGGGGGCTAGACGGGCGCGGCACGGGCTGGAGAAGAGATGGAGTGATGTGGTACAGGAGGACGTGGAGCTGAGTGGACTTGCCGATGACTGGTACCAGCGGTGTCAAGATCGGCCTCAGTGGAGGAGGCTCGTGAAGGACGCTACTGGGCAGTTGGAGGCAGTCGCCCTCCAACAACAACGGAGGGCGGAGGAGCGACGCTCACAACAACGAGCGGAGCGCCGGGTGGCTAAAGCACAGCAAGTTGGCACAGTAGGGGGCACAGGTGGTGCATCAGCCAGTCATCTCGGTCATCTCGGTCAGTCGACCCGTGGCACCTGGGTCTGCCCCGTGACCTCCTGCCAGCGGGCGTTCGACACTTCACGTGGCCTCAAGGTGCACTTGGCCTGGCACAAGCATCGTGGTGACGTCACCGCCACTTAGTGGCGAATGGCGGTTGTTGTTGTTGTGTGTGTGTCTGTGCGTGTGTGTCTGTGTGTGTGACTGTGTGTCTGTGTGTGTGTCTGTGTGTGTGACTGTGTGTGTGTGTGTGACTGACTGTGTGTGACTGTGTCTGTGTGTGTGTCTGTGCGTGTGTGCGTGTGTGTGTAGGCGCATCGAGGAGTTGACACGAGAGACGGGTGACGCGCTTATGTCCCTTCTCATCCCACGTGATCGCACAACACGCGGCACGGCAGCCAGAGTCTTCTACTTGTGTTTGGGTAAACGCAACACGCACACAGAAACACACACATACACATATACACACACATATACACACATACACAACAACAACAACAACAACCGCCATTCGCCACTAAGTGGCGGTGACGTCACCACGACGCTTGTGCCAGGCCAAGTGCACCTTGAGGCCACGTGAAGTGTCGAACGCCCGCTGGCAGGAGGTCACGGGGCAGACCCAGCAGGTGCCACGGGTCGACTGACCGAGATGACCGAGATGACTGGCTGATGCACCACCTGTGCCCCCTACCGTACCAACTTGCTGTGCTTTAGCCACCCGGCGCTCCGCTCGTTGTTGTGAGCGTCGCTCCTCCGCCCTCCGTTGTTGTTGGAGGGCGACTGCCTCCAACTGCCCAGTAGCGTCCTTCACGAGCCTCCTCCACTGAGGCCGATCTTGACACCGCTGGTACCGGTCATCGGCAAGTCCACTCAGCTCCACGTCCTCCTGTACCACATCACTCCATCTCTTCTCTAGCCCGTGCCGCGCCCGTTTAGCCCCCTCGATCCGGCCGAACAGAAGCTGTTTAGGCATGCGGTAGCTGGGCATGCGGGCTACATGACCCAGCCAACGCAGCCTTGCCTGCCGGAGGAGCTCACCGATGGGACTTTGCCCAGATCTTTCAAGGATTTGTGAGCTCCTCACACAATCCAGCCTGGTTAAACCCAGGATGGATCGTAGGCAGGCCAGCCTAAATGTTTCCAACACACACATACACACACACGTAACACACACATATATACACACACACACACATATACACATATACATACACACACACATACATATACACACATACACACACACAGACACACACACACATACTGTGTGTCTGTGTGTGTGTGTGCACGTGTACAGAACTGGCTGGGCACCGTATTATCGCTTTGGAGCAGACGCAGCCGTTTGGAGCGATCCGGATCACGCGTGGACCCGACTTCACCAGCAAACGATGAGTCCATCACAAGCCGACTGGCGATGAGTCCGTCACCAGCCGACTGGCGATGAGTCCGTCACCAGCCGACTGGCGATGAGTCCATCGCAAGCCGACTGGCGATGAGTCCATCACAAGCCGACTGGCGATGAGTCCATCACAAGCCGACTGGCGATGAGTCCATCACCAGCCGACTGGCGATGAGTCATGAGGCGATCTACAAACCCTTTCTGACAATGGCACCGTAGTTTGCGTTGAGATGTTCAAACACCAAATAGGCAGCAGCAGCAGCAGCAGCTATTGGCGAGGCAATCTCCAAGTCTGCGGTTGCCTCACGCAGACTTGGGGCAAGACATGCAGACCAACACCCTCTGATAATGATCATAATGAGAGTGTACACTCTCTGAACCTGGTCAGCCTACAGCAGAGCCACAAGGCAAGGTCGTAGCAGCCATGGAACCAACATTGGGGTGGGAGACCAAATCTTGCCGGGTGTCTGAGGGCCCCAAACCAGAGAATATCTACATTTGAAAACGAATTTCCTGCCTAAGATATTTAAAAATTCAGTCACACGTGGGATGAACTTTCTATTTATGTTGTACAATAATGTCTGATGGTGTATTACATTACGTTGTATGCAACGGCAGAGATTAGGGAATAGTAGAGTACAACCATAACCACAATCATATAAACAGAAATCTACGCGTCGATTTATATGAAGACAATCCAGATATTGTGGCCAAGTTTTAGCAAATTGTTGTTTTTATTAGCATAGCAGAGCAATTGTTTTTTACAGCAATACATGAGGCGGGGACATTTCGAGCTTGTTTGAATATTGTTGGGGGTGATAATGACAGACTTGGGACAAGTTTCAATGTCAGTATCGCAGCACTGAGAGCTCGGCTTGAGCGGTTATCATAGATCCATGGAACCTGTGATCAGGTTTGTGTTTGAACATCTGAACGTCTTTGTTATTGCCAGAAAGGGCCCAGCCAATTCCAATCGAAACAACGATCAGACATTTAGATCGTTGTGATTGTACACACGGCATGATGTCTGTTGTGTTTGTACACACGGCATGATGTCCGTTGGAGTTGTGTGATCTGCGCGTCCCGAATTAGAGAATTACAACGAGTTCATTTCGTTCCTTGCACGCGTTAAAATCACTTTAGGTTTGATAAGCAAGGACACATTTCATCAACAGCTATTAAACGTATTCAATAGCATTTTCAAAAGTACGTAATAATTACGCTACGTTTTAATGTGTTAATGGTGATAATTAGAATATATTTGTTATATTTTAATGTATTTATTAAATACGAGTATTAAATATTTTATTGATTGTTTAACACACAAATATATACAAACAGAATCAAACATAGCAACAACCATCGTGCCATTATGGTTTATACCTCAAGTAGTTTTACAAACATTAACGCCTCTAAACGCTGACATTCTGCGAACTAAGATTCAGTACAATGAACTTGGGGCTTGTCTTGCCTTTACACACAAAGCTACAACAATAACGTTAAACAATGATTCAATGCACTGAAATTAATAACTATTTTATACATTCTAAACTAGACTTTATTTAATTTCTCATCACTTTATCTCTCATCACTTTATCTCTCACCACTTTATCTCTCATCACTTTATCTCTCATCATTAATTCCTGACCATTAAAAATGTTTAAAAAATAATTAAAAAGTATTTCCCGACACAGCGTTGCTGATCACATGACAACGTCATTCAGGCAGCCGTCTTTGACAGCTATCGATAAGCCAGCGACCTGTGTGATCACGGAGGGTTTCCGAATGAGAATGTTGACTTGTACTGGAGAAATCCGAAGAGCTCCCAAGCTCTTGTTTTTACGACGAGTGCTGACAGCAGCCAGCCAGCCGCAGCTTCCGTTACAATCTCCCGGCGCGGCACCATCACAGGCGCCCGTGTCAGAATTACCGACACCGCCACCGTCACCACAACACCACCACAACACCATCACCACTATCATCAATACCACCACCACCACAACACCACCACCACAACACCACCACAACAACACTATGATCAACACCATCACTACTACCACCACCATCAACACCACCACTGTCACCACAACACCACCACCGTCACCATCACCACTATCATCAACACCAACACTACTACCACCACCATCAACACCACCACCGTCACCACCACTATCAACACCACCACTATTACCACCACCATCAACACCACCACCACCACAACACCACCACCACCGTCACCACTACTATCATCAACACCACCACTATCATCAACACCAACACTACTACCACCACCATCAACACCACCACCGTCACCACCACTATCATCAACACCACCAATATTACCACCACCACAACACCACCACCACCGTCACCACCACTATCATCAACACCACCACTATCATCAACACCAACACTACTACCACCACCATCAACACCACCACCGTCACCACCACTATCATCAACACCACCACTATTACCACCACCACCACAACACCACCACCACCGTCAACACCACTACTACCACCACCACAACGCCACCACCGTCACCACCACTACTACCACCACCACTACTACCACCACTACTACCACCGCCACCGTCAACACCACTACTACCACCACCATCACCACCACCGCTTCACCACCACCACTGTCACCACCATCGCTTCACCACCACTGTCACCACCACCACTGTCACCACCACCGCGTCACCACCACCGTGTCCATCACCGCCGCCTCTGTCCACCCAGCAGCAACAGCAGCAGTGTTAATCGGTTTCACCGCAGTCATCTGCAGGTGGTGGAGGTGGTGTTGGTGGTGGTGGGGTAAAGTGTGGGTAACCCCCCCCCCCACCTCGACCCTAGCAGCAGCAGCACGTGGTGCGAAACGTCGGACATCGTGCCCAGCAACACGTCGTGACGTTGGTGTTATGAATACTTTAAAAAAGTCTTTAAATGCGTAAACAAGAGCAACCAAAAACATGTTGTTGCCGTTGTGAGAGAGGGAGAGGTTCTTGTTGAACTCGTTAGGAAACGACCAGCCCAGAGGCCTCACCACGCCCCGGGAGCCACGCCTGGCACCGAGCCAGGGCGGCTTGGCTCGGGTGTGGCATTGGAAAAACACCACCCGTACCGTGCTGGCTTGGCACGGATGTGGAAGTGTAAAATGGCCACTGGTGTTGATTTCAGGTTGCGCGGATCTAGGAAGTAAGTGAGGAGCTGACGGTGTTTTCCTGTTGACAAATTTGTACTTTGACTGAATAATAAATGTTTACATCTTGCCTTCAATGATTTCATTCTCTATGTCGAACAGGTGATGGTTGTCATGGTGATGATGGTAATGGTGGTGGTGGGTGAATTACCTCCGGCCTGTCGTGGGTTTAAGCACAAGGCTGGATTGTGTGAGGAACTCGCAAATCATTAAAGTCCCATCAGTGAGCTTGTGGTGCCACAACGACGGGGCCGCTCTGCCGAGCCAGGGAGCCGCCCGGCTTCCACCACTGCACTGCCCCCCATCACCCCCCCACATAAGCACACACCCGCACGCATTCCCCCCCCCCCCCCCCCCCATAAAGCTGGAAGGGAAGGTTACCTGATCGACCGGTTTTTATCCGAGAGACCCTTATCGGGATTAATTCTCACGGTTTCCGGCGATCAGGGAATTGGATGACCCCCCCCGTGCTACGTGGCACCGCGGCGCTGCGGCCGGCCTTAATATGGTGTGGTCGCGGCGTGGGGCATTCGGCCACCGCGGTTGAGGCGCATTTCCCCCCACACACACTCCCACGGGTCGACGGGGCAAGCAGGGGAGGCACGGGACAGCATGAATAGCGGGCTCACAGGGGCTGTTGCGCATAGTCATGGAGGGTTGGGATAATTGCGCTTGAGCGCGCAGGCCCCATTGTTAGGAAGGGTAAGGGAGTAATTAGGATGTACGCCGCCAACGTCGCGCACTGATTAGCATATCAACAGCGCCCGGGAACCGCCGTGCGCGGGCTTGGGGTGCACGAGCCCATTGTTCAGCGCAGCATCCCCTTTGAGGTAGGGAGGATAAATAGAGGAGCGCAGAGGGGAAATCGCCCTTCTCTCCAGGCCAGCGGACCAGCAGAAGTTCCAGCCAGCGACCCGGACGTCCGTGCGACGCATCGAGGTACGCTGTTAGCGCAGAGAGCAGCGAACCTCCGCGGGCACGAAACAGTGAGTGGGGAGGTGAAGTAGGGTATCGTAAGCCGATAAATAGGGAATAGGTACAGGTTTAGTGGAATAGGCCAGCCTCGTCGACTCACTGATTCAACATCAATTCGCAGGTGGCATATAATAAATCATTAATAGCGAAGCGTGGTCTCGCGTGATCTTGTCGTGCAGTGTGAGCGTGTGGGTGCGCTGTGTGCACAGTGGTTCGCCACGTGAGTGAGCGCTGCGCGGAGCTGAGCGCGCGGGTTGCGCGTGGGTACGCAGTGATTCTGTGGTGCTGCGGCTCGCCTCGGGGGAGCGCTGCGCAGAGCGGTGCGAGAGTGGGTGTCGCGTGTGTTCACTCCGTGTGTGATACAGGTGCGCGAGTATAACGTGAGTTGAGTTGGAGTGCGCGGAGCGGCGTGTGTGTGGGCGTGTGTGTGGGCGTGCGTGCGTTCGCTCCGCGTGGGTTGCAGGCGCGCGATTAGGAAAGGGAAGTATCGTAGTAGAGAGGGGCAGAATACTAATCGGTAATTAACCATGCCCATTACGCGGACCCGCGGTGGAGGGGAATCCGCGGGCGACGGCTCCCACACCATAGGTGAGGAACTTAGCAGCGGTTCGCTTAGCAGCGGGGGGGCGATTGATGATGCTAGCCCGGCCGTTAGCATTATCGAGGGAGGGATCTCGGGGGCTAGCGACCCCCACAAGCTCGTACGTTTGGCCGGGTCATGTAGCCCAGCCACCACGTGACCCACACACCACGTGACCCAACCACCGCGTGACCCACCCACCGCGTGCCCCACCCACCGCGTGACCCACCCACCGCGTGCCCCACCCACCGCGTGACGCCACTTGGTGGTGAATGGCGGTTGTTGTTGTTGTGTGAGTGAGTGTGTGTGAGTGAGTGTGAGTTTGTGGAGATATTTAACCTTCACAGCCAGTGGCAATGAACTCAGCCTGGGTACTAACATTCAGCGCCATCTTTACACCTGCCGGTAAAACGACGTCGTAACGAAGCTACAATTTAAACGCTTTAACAGCGAGTCGCCTTCAAACATTAACACACTCACCACACAGCAGAGACCCATAGACTCACCACACAGCAGAGACCCATAGACTCACCACACAGCAGAGACCCATAGACTCATCACACAGCAGAGACCCACAGACTCATCACACAGCAGAGACCCATAGACTCATCACACAGCAGAGACCCATAGACTCATCACACAGCAGAGAGCCATAGACTCACCACACAGCAGAGACCCATAGACTCACCACACAGCAGAGACCCATAGACTCATCACACAGCAGAGACCCACAGACTCATCACACAGCAGAGACCCATAGACTCACCACACAGCAGAGACCCATAGACTCACCACACAGCAGAGACCCATAGACTCATCACACAGAGACCCATAGACTCATCACACAGCAGAGACCCATAGACTCATCACACAGAGACTCATCACACAGAGACCCACAGACTCATCACACAGAGACCCATAGACTCATCACACAGAGACCCACAGACTCATCACACAGAGACCCACAGACTCATCACACAGAGACCCATAGACTCACCACACAGAGACTCACCACACAGAGACCCATAAACTCATCACAGAGACCCATAGACTCATCACACAGAGACCCATAAACTCACCACACAGAGACCCATAAACTCATCACAGAGACCCACAGACTCATCACACAGAGACCCATAGACTCACCACACAGAGACTCACCACACAGATACCCATAAACTCATCACAGAGACCCATTGACTCATCACACAGAGACCCACAGACTCATCACACAGAGACCCACAGACTCATCACACAGAGACCCATAGACTCACCACACAGAGACTCACCACACAGAGACCCATAAACTCATCACAGAGACCCATAGACTCATCACACAGAGACCCATAGACTCACCACACAGAGACCCATAGACT